GATTAATTGTATCGTGTACAATATTTTACACCCCAAGGAAAATACTGTAGGTCTAGGGCAGGGGTCGGCAACCTTTTGAGTCGGAAGAGCCAAAAATTACAATTTACAAAATTTCAAAGTTTTTAAAGAGCCACAAAATTTTTACATAACTTTGAGAAGATAATTCGCTTCTAACTCTTTTACTCGAAACAACAAACTATACGTCATAGCCAAAGCACTGGTGAAGACGCCAAATTGTCTTGCGTCGAAAGCGAATTAAACCTCATAGAAACATCCGACGACGGCGTCATTCGAGAGCTTCCGACTGACTGACGACAGTGACGACGCGTGTCACGGGGGAGGGGTGCGATGAAAAGCGAGTACAAGTGGCTGAGAGATAGAATCGGTGCCTAATCCTTGTTAATCGATTCAGAACGATTTTTAAATGTTTTTTTTTTTTTGATAAAATAAATAATAATTGCGTATGGAACTAAAGAGCCGCAGCTTCACATTCAAAGAGCCGCATGTGGCTCGCGAGTCGCAGGTTGCCGACCCCTGGGTTAGGCAGTTGAGTTTTATTGGTGGCTTGTTGAGTATAGTGTTTGTATTGTTCTCCAACAATCGTAGTTGAATTATCAAGCAAAATTTCATTTTCGTTCAAATCCATATAATATTTTGCTTCCATTTATATATAATTGGCATGTTTTGTTATAATTCTATGATAACGAAAGTTACTTTTCCTGTTAGAAGGATAAAACTTCAACTTGTTTACGTGGCAAGATCATGGCTCGGACCCTGTTCTCAGGGTTGTACTTAATATTTCGAAATCATGACTAGTGGGGCAAGACCGGCAACATAAAGCCACATTAGAAACCAAGAATAAGAATAAAAAATTTGGAATTTGCAGAACGGAACAGTTTTAGAGAATCCGGATTCGAAGTAAACTAAGAGAAAGAGGCAGAAAAGTCCTAAAGAACCGGAAAATGACGGTAAAAATACTTATTGTATATATTTCAATGAAAAATATGGCATTACTCAGGAGGTTATGCTGTAAATGTAAACTCTGGGCTCATATGGACTGTATAGATGTAGAAAATGAGTATGTTCAATTTATTTGTGATATGTGTAGAGAATAAGAGAATAAACAATATGCTTTTATATTGCTTTAGGGTGTTTTCATTTATTATCTGTTTGATTTTTTGTAACTAATTTGTGTTTGCATTTTTTTTATTTATATATGTCTTTGAACTTGCATTTCGTTGTAATAATATTAAATAGGATTTAAACTTGTGTTTCTTTGTTTTAATAGTGAATTCTAACTTATACATTGTTAATAACATAAATTTACATACCTGCTTATCTTGCCCCATTATTGTTGCCGAAGTTGCCCCTGGTATAGAGGCAACTTCGGCATTTCTCTCTTTTTGTAAAGTTATAATTATTTTAATTAATTTTATTTCCAAACTGATTTTAACCAGTTCTATAGTAAAAAGCATTCTAGCCGACAAACAAACCTTTTTTTTCAGTTTACAGCTGTATTTATTACACAAAATTTAAGTAAAGCTTAGCATGCCGAACTTGCCCCGGTCTCCCCTAATTAATGCTGTTCATTTCTTTACAATTTATTTAATGCTCTGAACATAACATTTCTGAAGATTCCAAATGCGTATTAGGTAAACCTCACTTTTAATCATAAACAATGAATCGAACTTAATTTTTTTCACATTAATGAACTCTGTTTATGAAAAAAGTCATTTAAAGCTATTGAACCTTACAATAAAAAAAAAGATCATTGTAAACATTTTACATAACAAATAATTGAAATTTACCGATAAAAATACTTTTTGCCGTTTATTTTTCGTAAACTAATT